AGTGCTTTTGGATTCAAAAAAACTATGTCGGCAAAAAATGCCGCCTGCTCTATGAGGAAATGCCCACTGTGCAGAAATAAGACAAAAGTAATTTAGAACTTTTCTTGTAAGTTCTATAACTTTGCAAAGAAAGGTCGCGTAAGGCTGGAAGATGTCCCATTTTAATCAGGAATTTGCGGGCTACAATCATGCCTCATTAAGAAAGGTTCGGGTTATATTTAGAGTTTCTGAAAAACTGGTTTTCTAGAAAACCAAATCTTCGAAGGGCTAAGAGCAACTCCCATGATCATATTTGAAATTAGCATGGTCAATAAAGCTATAACTCACCAGATTCCGAGCAAAAAGCGTTTAATCACCTAGAAAGGTTTCCTGGTAAGTACCAATATTTCGTCTATTAAACAACGAAGTTTCGGATACGCAAACATTAGCTCAAAACCGGCTTTTTATACGGGGAACAGAATCGATCCAAATTTTTTTTCTGAAGAGCTTATTATGTGAATCGACGGGCAGCAAAGTATCTCTTGATTCAAATCACTTTTCACATTTTGGCGCGAATAGTGATCTACTGTAGTGGCTGTCTGTTCTCCTGTGAGAGTGTACTGTTGGAAAATGTTCTCCTCTAAGAATAAGTTTATAAATTGTTCTCATTCGAGAGTGCAACAGCTGAATATGTTCTCCTTTGAGATAGATTATAAAATATTGTTCTCCTTCAAGAATGCACAGTTTCAAGTTGTTCTCAATCGAGATGGCGCCATCTGCTTTCCGTCTAAAGTTATTCATTAATTATTATCATTAATTATCCCAAAAACTAATTCGTGATAGTTTTTTTCTCTGTCATGAACAATATAGGGCTTGTCTAGCCAAAAAAAGTCAGTCCTTTACGTTTTAAAATAATTATAGTTCCGCAAAGAAATAACGTAATAGCCTGAACAATGTCTTATTTTGTAGAGTAAACTGTCTTCTTTCATATGACAGTCAAGCAAACTCTCATGAGCATTTATTTCAAAAGTTATAGCACAGTAAGTGAGTGACCCAAAAGTCATTTTTTATCTGACTTTTGGTAACTTATCTCTATTTATAGTGGCGTCTCTAAGAGTTCGTTTGATTGTCATATCAAAGAAGACAGTTTACCCTATAAAATAAGACACTGAGCCGATTTTTACGTTATTTCGTTGTGGACTCATAATTATTTCAAAACGTAACGGACTGACCGAAAAGTGAACTTTAACGTGGATAAGCCGATATATGAAAAACCGTTCATTTCATCATTAGTCCTACATTTAATCGCAGAAAAAGTTAATCTTTCCTTGTCTTTTTTTTTACTTATGCTCGTCAAGATTTTTACAAAGATCGATAAAGAGATGACTGTCGTCAATTTTGGAAATTAAGAATGAAATTTTTGAGTTGTGAAATCACTGTACAAACTGCAAAATAGTTGACCCCAAATTTTTCGCGATCTAATGGCGGCCGACTGCTCTGTACCTTATATATGTATATATTCATTTTTAATAAAACCTTCTTCATTCTTTATACACAATCATCTTCGATTAAAAATTTAAAACATTTGCAGACTAGAGGCGTGTGAAGATGGTTACGATAATATAGCGCATGGTATGTTAAAAATAAATAACTAGTGACTTGATCTCTGAAGCTTCGAATACAATTACAATAATTTTTTCTACAAACTAGAAGATCTTTTTAATAATTCTTTTATTTCTTCCTTTTTACTTCGTAGTTTATTTATATTGCTTAACTAAACGTTTCGATTAATAAAAATCTACATCAGTAGTTGCAACTTTCTCGTTTTTATCTTCTTGCTGTAAATAACTCCCGTACCTTTCTTAACCCATTCAGCAATTATTGGTGACCACGACTGTGGTAATTACTATTTTTATTTGAGTTATTTATAGCGAGAAAGTTAAGGAAGGAGAGAGTCAAAGTAAGAAAGAGAATAAAGAGAAAAGTAAGAATACATTGTTAAGAACAGAAAATTTCAGATATAATCTGAGAATCAAAGAAAAAGTTGACTATTCAAAATTAATAAAAAATTAATAAGGAATAATTCTTAACGTGCTGTTATTAATTTTTAGATTTTGGTTCTAATCTTCTTCTAATCTTTGTTTGTTCTATAACATTTGTTTTTATTGTCAACTACTGATGAAGATTTTTATTAATCGAAACATTTAGTTAAGCAATATAAATAAACTACGAAGTAAAAAGGAAGAAATAAAAGAATTATTAAATATTATCAACTTCGTACATAGTAAACAGTAAAAAGACGCAAGCCATGGACTCAAAGATCTATACCGCATAACACAACTCAAGAGAGAGCTTTTCGAACTGTCTACTCTGCATCTAGTGGTTTATACGTTATCAACCACGCTGATTCAGAATATCCATATGAGACGAGCTGCTAGGCCTTCCTAGAGTGGTTTTCTGGAAAACCACTTTTTCAAAAACTTCGAAAAGCCCCTGAAACTTTCTCTTAATAGATCATGATTGTAGCCCACGAGATTCTGATCAAAATAGGACATTTCCCACCTCTACATGGCCTTTTTCTGCAAAGTTATAGAATTTACAAGAAAAGCCCTAAATGTTAATGGGCTTTTGTAAATTGTATAACTCATATGGATATTTGGAATCAGCGTGTACCAAATCTTGAAAGAAGTATATCTTCTGCATCAAAAGTTATAAACAGTCCGACTGAGAAGTGTAAAAGCGTCTCTAAAAAAAACAGGAGAGTCTAAAAAAGGTCTCTCATATTGAAGAAATAAAATGTATTTTAGATTTGATAATTTCAAATTGCACGCTGATCGTCGTTGTCGTTTATTTATTCATGTCATAATTACATAAACTTCAATAGTTTCACGTACACTATACAGAAATGTAATTTAGACAAATTTAGCAAAACAATATATTAACAACTACTGTGTAGAAAATTTCGATATCCACTTCAACAAATGTGTCACATTCTGTAATCTTATCATTTTATTCAATTTTATATAATTCAATTAGTTGACATTTATTTATTATTCCATTTCTTATTTTATTCATGTATTTAATTCTCTTTACAAGTTTCTTTATTCCAATAATTTATTGTCAATCGATCTATGAGCTATTGAATTCATTCAAATTTTTAAACAATGGAACAATATCAAATTCTGATATCTATGAATATCAGTATGAATATGCATTTTATACAGAACCAGAGAATGTAACACAAGCAAAATTTGCATGGGTACAAGAAAATGTACGACCATATTTATATCAAATGGATCCAAGTAAAACATTGCAATGTGATTCAAATCCATTATTATCAGAAACAGATTTACCAGGTGGCGATTTTCTATCATTAATACCATCATTAGCTGATCCATCTCATTGTAATACATTATGTTGTACATATATGTCATGTGTTTCATGGTCTTATACTTCATCAGCACCATCAGATTTTAATGATTGTCATGAAAATGAGCCATGTTGTTATTTAAAATCATATATAACCGAATCCTCTCATAATTCAACAATAATATCTGCCATAATGAATCGTACATTTCCCTACAATCATCCACCATCAGGTTTAAGATCAGCTGTACCATTAGGTGGTATTACAACAGGTTCAATTGAATTACGTGGTGATGGAACATTTCATGATTGGACAATTGAAAATCAATCACCGGCTACTGGAGCAAAATTTGGTTTAGTTGATGATGCATTATTAGCATTTCGAATTAAAAATTCTAATACAAATGAAAGTGATACACGATTAATACGTACACATCCAAATCATGATATAAAAGGTATACAACATATTAAATATTATGGTTCATATCCTGTAAGTAAATTAGAATTAATTGATGATACAATATTAGCAAATATTGATTTATATGCATATTCAATATTTAAACCGGGTAATTTGAATCGTTCTATGACACCAGCTATTATATATTCATTAAATATATATAATCCAAATTCCTATCCAATTAATATTGATTTTATGTATAGTTTACCATTATCTTGTCAAATTGATCAAACAAGACAATCAAATAATATAATACAACAAATATTATCTGATAAATATATTGATTGTATTAATTTTTGTGATCAAAA